CCCTCTGCACAGGGGATGCAGACAAAGCAGCAGACTGGCTTCCCTTTCTCAATGGCCTTACGAGTCCCTGGAAGGCAGCTCTCACTGCACACTGATCTTGGAACCTTAAAAAACAATTTTGCTTAATGATTTCCATACTGCAAACACTCAGGCGTGCTCAGTATTGCTTACTTTTAGGCTTTATGTGTGCTGCATAATATCTTTATTACAAGCCATTGTAACAACATTCATCATCCTTTCAGCCTTTTGTTCAGAAAGACGTACAGTATTATAACAGATACACAAATGTTAATATAATTTTTCAAAGTGCATACTATAGTATTTTATAGTATAGTATGTTCTAGGTTTAGACCAATGGTTATTGTAAGGGTTGGTATTGGGGCTGGATATAGAGTTATGGGTTGTTGTAGGGCCAGCACTCACATTGTTATAACAAACGTACAGAATGTGCCATTTCTGTATTATTTGAAAAATTACTCATAATGGGTCATAAATGTTGTTTTACCATTTTCTATACTGCTAAGAAGGTATCATGAAAGTATTACTTCATTCATTTTAACTACAGGTACATAAATTAAAATTCAAAGAAAGTGCTATCAGTACTATTTCATGTGTAAATGAAGATTTATGTAAATACCGTTTTTTGTTCTCCTGCCCACACAGGGCTGATATCATTCATTTGAAACTGCTGTCCTTCTGGAAAAGAAGCATCATAAAGACCAATAACTTCAAACTTCGTGGTTCCTTCCTTGTTCCTCTGCCAGTTAACTATTGCATATCGTGCAACTGGATCCCCATTTTCATCAAAATAGACACTTTCTCCACTCTTGGTTGTGAAGTTGACTCTAGTCAAATAATGCAGCACCTAGAGAAAACATATGCTGTTAACTGGACTCAAGAGTAGGACAAACCACAAGTACTCCAGCTCTGGCAATCAAAAATTCCCAAATTCTTCAGACAGAAATTTCCTAGGTTTCATCATTTTAATACCTCTTCGCCATCCACAGCACCTACGTCAGCGCGTCAATGCAAGCAACCAGTTTATCTAATTGCCTTGTCTGTATTGTAAGACAGTTGAATCTCAATACAGACACTTGGTATCTCAAACCAAGTGAATTCAAAAGCATATTAAATACTCTTTTTCACACTTGAACTATTGAGGTTGGTCTGTGTCTTTGGTCAGAAATATTTGTGAATGACACCTCTCTTCCCTCTTATTGCCATGATTAGGAAATGGGAACAGGGATGTCAATTCTGCATTCAATTCAGAAAATCTCTTCAATGGCAAGACTTGATTAAGCACTTCAAACTAGAACACAGACGTACAGTAAGAAATATGTATTTGAAATTCTTAATTTTTTAGTACACAAAAATAATGCACCTGCTTACAGAAAATACTATGTTTTTGTTTCCCACATTTTTCTTTATATTGTAAATAGACATACAGAGTGTAACTGAAAATTACGGTCACAACTCCATATTAAGATATAGTGATATTGTTAAATAAGTTTGTATTCAAACCATATCTGAAGATGTAAATATCTGTCAACAATAACAAGTTTATAATACAAATTTTAGAATAAACAACATGACACCTTACCTGCCAGGGTTTGATATTCTTTTCATTTGAACATGTTTTGTTGTCAAAAGGCCCTTCTCCATCTTTGCATGTCATTAGATCGTGCAGTGAATGAGCTACAGCATACACTGCTTTATACACATTGTTGGATATCCTCAGTTCTGACACATCAGTGTATTGGTTATTTATGTCTTTCAAGGTTTCTCTTCCTGTGCACGGCTTAAGAACTGTATCTTTTTCATGGGATAGAGTACAATTGAAAGTACTCCCCCAAAGCTCATTTAAGCCAGTGTTTCCAGGTATGTTTGATGGACGTGTATTTTGAAGAAATTCCTTCAGTCCTGGTATTTGTGCATTTGGAATTGCAAAACCAATGGACCCACCCAGGACTTTATAGCCTTCTGTGGATGCAAGTTTGCTGTCAGTAATCCATGCCTCACTGCCCACCCACTGTAAGCCTGTGACATTCTGAATCAATAACTCTTTTACCAAGAGGTCAAAGTCTATGTATGATGTAAAAGCAACAATAACTTTGGAAGATGATTGTTTGATAACATCAACAATTTGAAGGAACTTCTCTCTAGGATCAGTTCTGACAATAGCTTCTGAATATTCAATGCATATCCCCACTTGCTGAGCTTCTTTAGCAAAGGAAGCCATCCCATTATTGCCATAATCATTATTAGTTCTAATGGCTCCAACCCAGGTCCATCCAAAGTGCTTCACGAGCTGCGCCAGGGCTCTGCTTTGGTAATAATCACTGGGAATTGTCCTGAAGAAGCTGGGAAACTCCCTTCTGTTACTGAGACATTCACAGGTAGCAAAGTGACTGATCTACAGCAAAGAAAACACATTACATGCATGAACATAAAGAAGAAAATCCAAAACATAGAAAAGGAAAGGATTTCCAAATTAATGTTTTATATTGTCATTAGACAGGGTTATTATATTTGTAAAAAAAGAAATGTGGAATAATGTAATGTAGAGTAAAGAAAGCTTTTTTTAAGATATGAAGATTCTCAAAAAAACATATTTCTTCAAAATCAAACAGGTACAAAGACTATAAATAAAGAGAGAAGTAATCTGTGTCCTAAAATGGACAATGACTTACACAAAAATCAACTCAGTAGTAAAACTGTACATAAACATACAGGAATGTATATTAAATTACAAAATTGTTTTTCAAAACGACTGCTTACAAAGTGCATAATATAGCGCTATAGCAAGTAGAAATCAACCACTGAGCATAGAAAAGAATTACTGCGCAGGTTTCAAAATATTCACTGCAACAGATACAACATTATCATCAAGAAGCTCTTTGCCCGACGCACAGGAAACTGTACAATACCACCTCATTGTCACATTTATTGTAAATGATATTCCTGTATCAAAAAAGTACTTGTGGTTTTGTTATTCAGATGAGAAACATCGCAAGGAACTTTGTTTTGTCACAACCACCGGTCCTCGGAGTAGTCCTCACAAACGACCTAATCGGCTTCAACGCATACCTATTAACTACAATCACCACCGCACATGTGGACTATCACCCACGGCAGTTCCTCATGAACGCCGTACTTAAACACTCTGTACGCACTGCTCTAGGGTCGGTATTAGTTTCACGTCTTGTGCTTCTACCTCATGTTTTCAACTGCCTTCTCTGATCGTCTCTTTTGGATTTAGACCTCTCTGCCTGTTCGTTGACCACAACTTTGCTTAACAGATTGGACTCCCTTGGATTCTGACCCCCAATTCTCATTCCTGGACCTGGACCCTGGCTTACAATTTGGCTTGTGCCTATTGTCTCAATCCTCTCTCGAACACTCTCTCCTCTCCGCATAGGATCCTAACATATTTTGTCTTGGCTGCCCTAACGGTTTAGTTGTGCGTATTATCCTATCTGTAATTCGATGTGCTTACTTACAGTATTTACATTCTATTCAATCCTTATTTGTTAAAATGAATAAAAGTTTTCTCACCACTGGTATCCGAAATGGTCCAACAGTTGCTGCAATTCCAATTGTTATAGTGGAGCTAGACTGTCCTATAATAGCGTGGACAGTCAATGGTTTGGTGCAGGACTGGTCTGTGACAAACCCTTTTTCATGCACATTCATCAATTCCAGTGATACTTTTATAGACAGAGGTATGGAGCGACAGGAATCATATATCTTATATCCCAGTGAAACATTAGGAAGAATATCTGATCTGTTGTTAATTTCTTCAATGGCAAATATCATGGTCTGAGCATCCTGTAATACTACAGGATTTAAACTGTGAAGGAAGAAACTGATAGTGTTAGTATTAGCATTTTGAAAAAAATATACAAATGCTTGATTAGAATATAGGTACATATTTGTGAAAAGCATTAAAAGCATAATAGTGTCATAATTTTTTAGATAATAATCCACAATTTACCTTTCGCATATGATGTGTCCTGGGTTGACTTTAAATGTTGGATTCACAACAACAGGGTTTTTATGGATTGAAAAAATTCCTCCTATTGTGATGTCTCCATCCTTTGAAAACTGTGACACTTCTTGTATTCCATATGGCTGACAAACAGGCTTTTCAGCTCTTGAGAAAAGAGCAACTAAAACTATTTCTGCAAGCAGAAACATAGCAGATCTTTTTTTTTCCCCTGAATGGATCAGAGCTCCTTTAAAAAGGCTTATATGGAACATCACAAATATCATGCTTGAATTAAGATCATGTGAGGTTCAGACTTAAAAACATCAAGTCTCAAAGGTGAATTCAGTTTTAAATCTGTCTGGGGAAATTTAACACACAGTAAATCACAGAGGTCTGCACCAGTAGGCTTCCCTCTCTATTATTGCTCTATAACATAATACCATACTTTTATTTGATTTATTTGTATTCAAATGACACTGCACTTAATTTTTTGTGTGTTTAAATCAAGAATAAGGGATATTGTTTTTCCTTCCAAGTTTTCTGCCATTAATTATTCACTAAGGACCTATGAAGTTAATAATGCATTTTCATCATACGTGCAAAGAGTGTTTATACAGTAGTACTGTGTCACAAATGACTTTGTTTACATCTTACATTTTTTTGAAAGCACAAAGCATGTAATAAAAGAAAGCACCTTGTTTTAAAAATTGTATATTTCAGTTGTTAAAATCTGCAACAACAAAGATGGAGAATTTATAGAAATATCTGGCTTTAACACACCTCAATAGTATACAGATTTAACAGTAAGTTGAGGACAAAATGTTAAAGGATTGCTGCATCTGAAGTGGCTTTTGAGTAAAGAGGTGATGTCATGGCAAATGGTTGAATACATTTTACTAGATGCCTTGATTTATACCCTAGTAACAGACTGCAAAAGTGTGATAATTAACAATTATCTGCCAGATTCCTATAGGACAGTAGATAGATTGTGAGAAAACAGAAACTGAGACACCATAATTATTGGTTGTGTATTTAAATAAAGATATTCATGTGCACCTGTATGTATAGATCTGTTAGTCTAAAACTCAAAGTGTACATTCTAGAGACCAGGAGAAGCATATTTAACTAAGCTCCTTTCTCACATCCTGTCTCTCTTTCCTAGTGTTAATCCCGCATCAGCAGGGTCCGCTTGTCGGCACACCAGTCTCCATTTGGTGGTTTGAACCAAATCTTTGAGCTGATGTTGCCATTAACGGCGACCGAGAAATACTCCAACCGGCGCGTCGCTCCGCCTGCCGTCGGAGTTGGGGGGGGGAGGTGAACACAGTAATGTAGCCAATTCATAGTGGGGGATTATTAGGAGGCATGGGAAATCTGGCCAGGACGCAGGGGTTACACGCCTACTCTTTTCGAGAAACACCCTGGGATTTTTAATGACCACAGAGAGTCAGGACCTCGGTTTTACTTCTCATCCGAAAGACGGCGCTCATTTTACAGTATAGTGTCACCGTCACTATACTGGGGCATTAAGACCCATCTGGACCGCAGGGTGCTTTCTCATACTCCTGTCATTTGATCTAATCTCACACTATTATCCATGCCTATTACGTTTTTAGCAAATCCCCACCTTGAGATGACATACAAGGAAGAGAAAGATGACTTTGCCTCACTCTGCGCCAGATGGAAATGTATTTGGATTAATTAGACACTAATTACCAAACAAGTGACATGGACCACCGAAAGCAAAATGGCCTCCTCTTGTTTCCATTTGTCCTTATGTTTTTATTAACTCCAATTGGAATTGACAGATCTTACTGGTAGGTGGCTCTCCAGCTGATTTAATAGAGCACTCAGAACTAATCTTCAAGTTCCTCTGCTACATAGACTGAGAGGCCTTTTCATGGGAGTCCTGAAAATCTCAACTGGTGGGGGTTGATGATCATCACCTCAGGGCTCCTGTGGGTTATTCTCAGTGAGTTATTCTCACCAAATAGAAAGTGTTTTCTGAGGTCAGGGCTGGACTTCACCCAAAAGGACTGGGTAATAATAATTGTTCTGAATGAATTTAAAGAGGCCATGAAGGTGTGTATTAGATTCTCTGACCAGCACAATGAAGTGAAAAAATAAAGAGGAATGTTGTGATTCAAAACATACGGAGCCCGGGAGGGGCCATCAGTAGGGAAAAAAAATTATATCGAGGAAACGATTTCCAATTCGTATGCACGAAATAGTTATATTGAGAGAACGATTTACAATTTGTGCTCACAAAACAACTAAAACGTACACTCATTTTCTTTCATTCGTGCACATGAAATAAGTAAATCGCTCCCTTGTTTAAATTTGTGCGCACGAAATGTCCAACTCTTTCCTCTGTTTTCTTTGTGTCATGGTAGTTGCACGCACATACTGTAGAAAGTTTCTAAAATGCCAGCATTGTCTCCAGCTCCTAACAACAACACTATCAAACGCTAGTTAACACATCACTGCATCTTTATTTTAGTACAATAAAGCGTAATTCTCTGACACTGCTGTAGATTAGGATATTGGATAAAGATGAACTGATTAAGTTTTATTTTGGTTTGGGGATGAGTTATTAGGGTATTGTAGCTACTGTACTCTTCAGCTACTAGTTAGGACTGCACCTCTCTTTCACTGCTAGTGCCACACCTGTCCTAGCGAAGGAGTTGGAAAATGTTATTTCGTGCTCATGAATTAAAGGAAACAAGGGAATGATTTAGTTGTTTCGTGCACACGAATTGTAAAGTGGTTCCCTCAATATAACTTTTTTTTCCTACCCATGGCCCATACCCGGGCTCTGTAAAAACATAAGCTAATAAAAAATATAAAAAGTCTGAAAAAGTTTCTCTTTGTTTTACTCTTAGTCTAGTCTAGTTTAGTCTTGAATGTGCAATTTTACCATCTTTTTATCCACATATAAGTAGTGTAATAAATTGGAAAATAATAAAGTGAAATTCCTATATTTGGGAAGATTTCTTTTTAACATGTCAAGTGACTATTTAACTAAATTCTGTTGAAAAAGCAAATGAGATTTTATTTTTTTCTTTATAAATATGTTAGCATTCAAAATGGTTTTACACAATACTGAGCACTTTTTTAACAATTTTCCTAATATTTATTATGTAGCTTTATTTACATTAAAAAGTCAAATTATTTTATGAATAAAAACTGAGTGAGTATATTATTATCCTAGTTTTATATAGAAAATACAAATTAAAGCATCTGTTTGAATCCCTGAAGTAATTCAGAAAAATTAAAAAAACAGACAATTCCATTTCAGTGAAAAACATGTTTGATAGTTGTTTTACAATGGTATTCAAAAGGAAATGGTTGTCTCAAAATGTGAAAAAGGAAAAATTGAGCAGAAATGAGGAGAAATTGCCATAATTGAAATTTTTTAAAGTTATGATCAATTGCAATAGTTATACCTCATTGTCATACTTTGTCGAGCTGTAAAATATACAGACCTAAAAGATAGGAAATGGTGATATGTAAAGGAAAAGAAATGTGGAGTATCTGCTAGAAATCAAAGAGTTGTGAAAATGGTTTCATTGGTCCTAGAGTGACTTGGAAGTGTCATGGAATTTTATCAAAGAAGAGCCAGGAGAAGTGTTCTCATTCACTCAGTAAGGCATTTATTCATATTGCAATATGGGAAAAAGCAATCACTGGTCTGTGCAGAGAAGTGAAGGCTGATTCCAAAGCAAGAAGGGAGAGCCCTTGTTTTATATCTTTTTTTAGCTGATGCAACACTTCAAGGACAGGCAAAGCAGTAATTTTCCATTCCTTATAGGTTTCTGCTTTAAGCAAAGAAAAGAGTAGTTATACAAATAGTTTCTCATACTCCCTTTTTCAAGAAGCAGAGATAAACATTCTTAAAACATCCCGTGCCCTTGACGAGCTGGGTGCTATCACACTTTGTTCTAAGAATCCAGCTGCTTATGCAACAAAGCTCTGCCCGTAAACAACATTTTTAGGATAAAACACTTTTCTTCAGTAACTTTTCATTACAGAAGACATTTTGGACATTAAATGCTTTTTAGTATTTTTCTCAGGCTTTAATAGAATAATATAACATTTTGGTATAAAAATACAAAATAGTAAGCCAAAGCTTGAAGCCAAAATTGCAAATATTTCTACAGCCACTGTGAACTTCCCAGGGGAGCTGATATAAGCTGGGATAAAGGTGATCCAGACAGCACAGAATATGAGCATGCTGAATGTAATGAATTTGGCTTCATTGAAGTTATCAGGCAGCTTCCGAGCCAGGAAAGCCAGCACAAAGCACAAGGCAGAGAGGAATCCTATATACCCTAAAACAGCACAGAATGCACCTGCAGATCCCAGGTCACACTCCAGAATGATTCTCTCTGTATAATATTTCATGTTCTTGTATGGGAAAGGAGGTGATATTGTCAACCAAAGAACACAAATCAAGACCTGTATGAGTGTGAAAGCAAGAACACTTAACCGCTGCTGTGTGGGGCCAAACCATTTCATAATGTTATTGCCTGGCAGTGTAGCCCTAAAGGCCATTAACACCACTATTGTTTTCCCAAGAACACAAGAGATGCACAGGACAAATGTGATCCCAAATGCTGTGTGGCGCAACATACAGGACCAGTCAGAGGGCTGGCCAATGAAAGTAAGTGAACAGAGGAAACACAGAGTCAATGAAAAGAGCAGAAGAAAACTCAGTTCAGAGTTATTGGCTCTTACTATTGGAGTAAATCTGTATTGGAAAAAAATCACAGCTATTGCTATAGTCAGAAAAGTTCCAAGTAATGAAAATGTAACTAGAAGTATTCCCATTAGTTCTCCAAATGACAAAAATTCAGTTGTTTTAAGGAGACACTGATTCCGTTGTTCATTTGGTCTGTATTCTGATAGACACAAGGTACATCCCAGGGAGTCTGAAAAGAGAAGAAAAAGAAATTACCTTTGTTTTTTTTTAAATGTAATATTCTGTATTTCAGGTTTTTCCCAAATTATATTTTTTTTTTACTTATGGTGGTGTATAAAATAAAGATTTGAGAAGGCTTTTGAAAACAGTATAAATTAAATGTGTTTTTTCAAAATGTATACTTTATAGTGTATTATGATTTCTTTAGCAAGAAAGTTGTCTTAACTTGAATCAAACAAGTAATTTAATTAAAACAACATTTTCTAATAGTTACAATAAATGCATTTGACACTTTTTTTCATTTAATATTAACAGGCTCTGGCTGCAGAGGGCGTGACAATATGTGATCTTTAAAATATATTTCAAATAGGTTTATATACACATTTTAGTAGTGTGCAAAAATAACTAGGAATAAAAATAATATGTACTGAAGAGAATTTACAGAGCAATAAATGCTATTGGTTGCAGATGTAATTTTCCAATGTTATTAATGTTCCTCAGGTTATAAGGTATTCTGACTATTAAAACACAATTCCATCTTCTTGAAAATATGCCTACACTTTGTATTTGTCGGCAGTTTTATTTTAGATGTAAGTACAGTTGATTTCAGAAGGGCCAACTGAGCAAATTATTGTGAAATATACAGTAAAAGAAAAGTGTTCCCTGCACTATGTCATTAACATAGAACTACAATATTTAAAGTGTCCAATCACCTCTGGAAAACAATTAAAATTCTAATTCCATTTTTATGCTAGTAAAAATAAATACATAATGTATTTATCTATACTTATACCTTACCTGTAGTGTTGCTGAACTCCCCCTCTGCACAGGGGATGCAGACAAAGCAGCAGACTGGCTTCCCTTTCTCAATGGCCTTACGAGTCCCTGGAAGGCAGCTCTCACTACAGACTGACTTCGGCACCTGCAAAACAGTGAAAACTGAGTTGGAGAGAATAGCAGTTGACTGAAAAGTAAGTTTGAAATAGATTTTCTGTGGCTGTCTTTTCAGGAGAAGTGCTGTTGAATTTGGTCTGAATACTCAGGAAAATACCTTACCTTACTGTGACCACCTGCCCACACAATACTGACGTTTTTCATTACAAACTGTTTTCCCTCTGGTAAAGAGGCATCGTACAGTCCAATAGTTTTAAAGGTTATGATTCCTTCCTTCTTCATCTGCCAGTTTATCAGTGAGTATCGTGCCACTGGATCCCCATTTTCATCGAAAAAGACATTCTCTCCTTTCTGGGTTGTGAAGTTAACACTCTTCAGGTAACGTAGCACCTGGAGCAAAATAAACCTTTAGCTTAATTTTCTTAACTTTTGCTTGCTTTACTTTACTCATACTATAACCCTTAGGAAAAAGGAATATACTGTATAAAATCTGCGTGTGTACTATTTACTAAAATTCTCATCAACATCTGTACTTTTGAAATATGGTTAGAAACAAAGGAAAAGGTTTAAACATAGACTTTATTGTTTATTGCAACAGAAAAAGTAAAGTGTTTTTCCATGTTGAAAAGAGAAGAAAAGAAACACAACGTATGCACCTGAAGAAGGCTAAATAGCCGAAACATGTTTCTTTTCTTCTCTTTTAAGGATGGAATAAACCTTTACTTGGTCCTCTGCAGCCTACACATGCCTGTGCCTAATTGAACTACTTCATTGTTAGTTGCTTCTTAGTCAGCATTTACATTTAATAAAAAAATCAATTTATTACTCAGAATTTACAATAATAATTTGAAATATTTATATACATATACAATAAGATTTGTTCTTACCTGCCAGGGTTCTAAATTATTTTTGTTTGCACATGTTTTGTTATTGAAGGATAGGTTTTCATTTTTACATGTAAAAAGATTATGTAGTGAATGAGCTATAGCATACACTGCTTTGTACACATTGCTTGATGTCCTCAGTTCTGACACATCTGTGTACTGATTAAATATTTCTTCTAGATCCTCTGTTCCTGTGCATGGCTTAACATTTGCATTGCTGTTGATAATTAGGCTGCATTTAAACATATTTTCCCAAAACTCATTTAAGCCAGTGTTTCCAGGAGTGTCTGATGGACGAGCATGTAGAATAAATTCTTTCAAACCTGGTATTTCTGCATTTGGAACTGCAAAACCAATGGCTCCACCCAGGACTTTATAGCTTTCTGCTGATGCAAGGCTGCTGTCCATAACCCAAGCCTCACTGCCCACCCACTGGAAACCCGTGACATTCTGAATAAAAAACTCTTTTACTAATATTTCCAGTTCTACATAAGATATAAAAGCAACAATTACTTTTGCAGTTGACTTTTTGACAGTATCTACAACTTTAAGGAATTTCTCTCTTGGATCAGTTCTGTAAATGGCCTCTGAATATTCAATACAGATCCCCTCCTGCTGAGCAGCTTGTAGAAAGGTAGCCATCCCATTGTTGCCATAATCATTGTTAGTTCTAATGGCCCCAATCCAGGTCCATCCAAAGTGCTTCACAAGCTTTGCCAGAGCTGTACTTTGATAGTAATCACTTGGGATTGTCCTAAAAAAGTTGGGGAACATCTTTCTGTTACTCAGACAGGCACAGGTTGCAAAGTTACTTATCTGCAGGAAATGAAAAGAAGGTAAAATACTGATGAAGAAGAAGTATGCACACTCTTATTTAAACTAACTGAAGAAAGTACTGTTTCCTCACCACTGGCATGTTAAAGGGTCCAACAGTTGTTGCAAGTCCTATTGTCGGTGAAGATTCAGATAGTCCTATTATTGCATGAACAGAGGAAGGCTTGGTGCAGGAGCTGTTTACATTAATTTCCTCTTGCTGCTCATTCATTAATGCCAATGCAGCTTTAATAGCCAAAGCTATAGATCCACAACCGTTATAAATCTTATAGCCCAGAGAAACATTGGGAAGAATATCAGAATTGTTATTTATTTCTTCAATAGCAAATATTACTGTTTGAGCATACTGCAGTTCCTCAGGGTTTAAACTGTAGAGAGAAATAATTCCCCATTCCATATGTTGTTTTATTGTTTCTACTGATGCACAACAATGTATAGATAATATCCCATCATCATATTGAAATTTTAAATGTGATTTATCTTTTTCATATAATCATATATTTTTGTATAACTTTTGTATAAAAATATTAATAAAAATGCTTACCTAATGCACTTTAGCTGTCCAGGGTTGTCCTTAAAAGTTGGATTTACAGCAACAGTTTTTTTATGAAAAGAAAAAATTGCCCCTATATTGATGTCTCCTTCTTTTGAAAACTGGGGCAGGTTTTGTGTTCCATAAGGTTGACAAATAGGCTTCACAGCCCATGTGAAGAAAAACATCATTGCTAATTTCACAAGCAGCAACATTGCAGACTTATTGCTATTCTTTTTTTCTGTACATATTTTCTTTACTGGTGCTTATATACTTGCTCAAATCCCATTTGCTTAAATGAAGCCAGGCAATAATTCTCAGAGGTGAGTTCAGAGTAGAGTCTGAAAATTATTGCCTGGCTTCATTTAAGCAGAAATTAAGGAGCTGTGTAATTGCTCATTTGGACTCACATGGATGTTTTTTTTATTGATCCTTAACAGTCTAATATATTTTAGATTTTTTTCTGATTGTTCACTTCAAAGCAAAGACAAAATATTATAATACACTTAGGAGGTGCATCTGACTTGAGTCTACCTTTGTTTTAACAGAGTTCCAACAGTATATACTGTCCTCTCAGGTATAATATTCAGATATTCAAATATTTTTTCCTTTTCTATTTTTTCCTTCAATATTCTCTGTTTTTCTTTCTCAACTAGCTACAATAAAACATTATTTGATATGTGTTCATTATATGTTGACACGGTGACTGATTATATATTCTGTATTTATAAATAAATAATTCATAACTTATTTTCCAGTTCTAGATGTTGAAAATGATTATAACCTTAATACTAGTTATGTGAAGAATACAAAGGTGACTTCTAATTAGAATTGTTGTGAATAATGACAAATGACAATATATTGCATATTAGAGATACATATAAGAAATGGAAGTTATTAACTGTTGTCTGGAAGGGATATTGACAGACAAGTCAGTCTCACCCAGCTGTTTAAAGTTATAATAATTAATTACTTTCTGTGAGATCTTACTACTCATGGGGGTTGCAAGCAGTAGAATGTTCTCATAGAAGAAACCCATGCACCGGGACAATGGGAAAAAAGCAAGAAGCTCACAGCTGTTGTTCCAAGCTAGCACCAAACTTACTCAATTAATTTTTGTTGTTGGTTAACTCACTGCTCATCTTCTCTTTTCCAACCACTTGGTGGCAAGCAGTTCTAGTCAGGACTTGAACTTCTCTCCAAGATTCTCCAAGGCCAGGGGAGTGAGTCAGTAAAAAAACAAAATTTTGCCCTAGATATTCTTTTTGCAACAAAGTAAATCACGTGTTTGTGATCCCACTGTTTTTTTTTTTTAATAAGAAAGTTTAATTCTTTTTGTCGACATCTATATATCCATATACTCTATAGTCAAAAAGTTGTATCCAGGATGAAACAAATTTTTCTCCCCACCTGTCTCACGTGCAGCCAAGCAGAAATTTAAAAGACTGAAATTCAGCAATGCTAAGTTCCAGCAGAGATGTCCTTAGGAATGCTAGACAAAGCTCTCTCCTCTCTCTCTGCATTGTGACACTGAGAAACTGCTCTGTAAGAGACCACGCACCAATCTACTCAGTATTAAGTTTGAACTCCTAGAGCTTTTTTTGCCAAGGGGTCTTTGTGTATAAAACTTCGTTATTCACATTATAAATCTTAAGAGTTAAACTATTATTCCAGACACCATTTATGATAGTAAATGTATGTTATCTTAAAATATATATATATAAAATTGTATATTAAACCCTAAGAGGTAGACCATAACAATGTTATAGTTGCAATATGTATTCTTAACCTTCAGAGCTAGGATCACTCAGCGGTTATCAACTCTAATCGTTGTAATCCCTGACTAAACAATCAGCTTTTCGAATCACCACAGATAACTTTACAAATGTATTCTACTATTGTTGTTGTTTTAATGGATATTTTTGGTGTTATATCAATAAATTGTATATTGTGTATTTAGAATCTGTGTATGAGATTATGAATTATTATTATACATTGATTCCTTACACTCAAAGTACTCTCGCAATTTGCTGTTCCATTTTCTATTTGTTAATGTAAATTAGAAACCTCATATCACAACATCTGTATTTCCATGTTTCTTCTGTATTGTTGGTTGTGGGGTTCACTTCTGTCTTTTGGGGTTCCTTGACCCGTGCTGCTCTTGACACCATGTCATTATCCCCTAGTCTGTCCAATATCCTATCTTTTGCTCATCAGCAGGCATCCTAGCGATTTTAAGGTTTGCCTTCTCTTTTTATCATTATGTCTATATTTCCTCACTGTAAGTTCCTTCCATCTCTGTTTTTGCATTGCTTTTTGGGGGAGGTCACAAGTTTCTTTTTGGGGGTTGGCCCCAAAACCCCCCAAAATGGCCAGGAGGCTACCAAGCAGGTTAAACCAAAACTTATACACAAATAATCAATAAACATTTGCAAAACATCTGATTCTTGGATGTTATTACTCTTCTTGAAGTTAAGTACCTTCTCCTATGGTAGCTTCTTTATTCATCCTAAAGGCTCCAATACTTTTGCATCATGCTGTTATTTACTTGATGGGCTGCATGCATGTGTATGTTATAGGATTCAGTGTGGTTATATTGAAATAGTCAGAAAAATATGTATTATCCTCTCTAATATAAGCATATTAGATTCTCATGAAAATCTTGTACTGTATTAGTATTTTCTATCTCATTGTTTCATCATACTAATCCGGATAGGGATCTGATTTAATTGACAGATGTCTAAATGGACTTTGTTTTGGTGATGTATTCAAAAAACATAACAGGAAGACTGAGGAAGAAAAGAGACAACTCTAAATTGAGCAGAATGTATTTATGTTTTAAATAAATTGTTGTTTTAATATATTTAAATATAAATAAATTATCTTTGTTATACCACCCGTTTTTTTTAGAATTACCAGATAATGCTGGATAAGATTTCAGTTTGCAGCTAGAAACCCCACGATGGAGATATTGAAAGAGTGTAGATTGTTTCCTTTGAGCCACTCAGCTTTTAACATATCACAGGCACCACAGACCTGTACTGGAAGTTCAGCACTCATTAGCGGAGAGGTGCTTGGGAAGCGACATGGGCTCTCTCTTGCTGAGACCTATCAATATTTCAGTCTTGTCTTGATTAAACTGTAGAACATTTTGGGACATCCACTGAGAAATATCTAACACACAGCCATTTAGTCTGTTGACTGAGTTTTGATCTTCAGATGGAATAGAGATATACTGTACAGTTGTATATCATTGGCATAGCTATGAAAATTGATCCCATGGTTCCTAATTATATTACTATATAATATTATATTATATTAATGAAAAGAGCAGAAGTCCTAAAATGGAACCCTGCGGAACTCCACAAGAAATGTAGAATTTTTTTATGATTGATTTCCCAAAGCAACAAAAAACTGTCTATTCATCATATACAGTATATATAATAAATATAATATAATATATATGCAGTGGACTTGTAACCTGCCCAATTTGTGAAATATTAGGGCTGCAAATAGACTGTTTGTCTTACATCGCAAAGTTTAGTTCCTTACACATATATAGAGCTTTGCTGGACACTCCACTCAAAGCGCTTTACAGCTCCACCTCCTCCAATGTATAGCATCCACCAGGATGATGCGACCGCAACCATAGTGCAACAGAATATCCAACTCAAAACAGCTCTTATGAAGTCAGTTCATAGATGAGGATTATTAGGAGGCCATGATTGGTGAAGGCCAATTGGAAATTTGTCCAGGACACCCAGAAACCTACACTTTTCAAGAAATGCCCTGGGATATTTAATGACCATAGAGAGTCAGGAACTCTGTTTTACATCTCATCTGAAGGACGGTGCCTTTTTTACAGTATAGTGTCCCCATCACTATACTAGGACATTAGGACCCAAATAGACCGCAGGGTGAGTGCCTCCTGCTGGCCCCACTAACACCTCATCCAGCAGCAGCCTTAGTTTTTCCCAGGGAGTCTCCCATCCAGGTACTGACCAGGCTCACACCTGCTTAGTTTCAGTGGGTTGCCAGCTGTGAGTTGCAGGGTGATATGGCTGCTGACTGTATCTATACAGTATATATAAAGTTGCTGGAATTGGTGGTTGTCCATAACATGCATGTGGCAAAATAAGCTGAAGAACAGACTGCATGCCTGGATCATGACAGAGAGTAGTAATCACTCGTCAGTGGCACATTTACTATGAATGTATCATAGTATACAGTGTATTACATATACTACAGTATATGTGATATACTGTAGTTTACCCTTCTGGGAGATATCTACAGTAAAGTATATCACATATTATGTATCCTAGAATGTCACCTAATATACTGTATGTGTGAGTCATAACCATGTGACATTTAACTATTATATGAATGGTTTTACATGCTTGACAGAACTGATTTTTAAAAGCTTATTAATGTAATGTTGCTTGGTTCATTGCCTGACATGTTCACCACTTTCTGGGGATCAGTATTGATCAAGTGATCTAAAGATTTATGTTCTGTGAATAGACAAAATGTAATTACATACACTCATTCACTCACTCTTCAGACTATGTCTAAAGGATTTGAAAAATCACATACTTTCTTAATGTTTTATTATTATTCTATTTTTATTGTATTGTATTGTTATACAATTGTAGTTGTATTTTATTGTAATTTTATCCAGACAATCTGACAGTGTAGTAATATTTAAAATGTTGGAAAATATGTTTGTAAATGTGAAGGTTTGTTGATTTTTCACACTACGTTTATTTTAAAGCAACTCCCATGCTTTTTCACCCTAAAGAAATAATTCTAAAGCTTTAAGGTTCAGTTACTAGCTTTACAAATATTTTTTAAAAATTTGAATATGATTATTTTCAATAATAGGAACGTTTAATAAAAGAGATTGATTTCGAAGCCTTTAGTAATCTGATTAAAATAATTATCATTTAAGAAATGCCGTCTGTTTCCCAAAAAACAAGGTCCAGTTCTGATGAAGAGCTAAGAGTTTTGTGTTTGTGTGACAATCATATTCATCGTATTCAACAACTCAATAACATTGTCATTATTGTAAAAGTTGAAGATTTAGAAAAATTTGGATAGGGGAAATGAAAAAGAAATTAAGTTGTACTCATTGTAATAAAATTACAAAGGGTTACCTGCAATTGAATTAATAGCTGTAAAAAGATTGCTTAGAACTTACAATGACTTGGAGGGCATTTTGCCCATTAAATGCTTTTTTGTATTTTTCTCAGGGTTCAGTAGAATAATATAACATTTTGGCAGAAATATGCAAAAAAGTAAACCAAAGCTTGAAGCCAAAATTGCAAATATTTCCACAGCCACTGTGAACTTCCCAGGGGAGCTGATATAAGCTGGGATAAAGGTGATCCAGACAGCACAGAATATGAGCATGCTGAATGTAATGAATTTGGCTTCATTGAAGTTATCAGGCAGCTTCCGAGCCAGGAAAGCGAGTACAAAGCACAGGGCAGAGAGGAATCCTATATATCCTAATGCAACATAATATCCAATGTTTGATCCAAAGTCACATTCTAAAATGATTCTCTCTGTATAGTATTTCATGTTCTTGTTTGGAAAAGGAGGTGATATTGTCAACCAAAGAACACAAATCAAGACCTGTACAAGTGTGAAAGCAAGAACACTTAACCGTTGCTGTCTGGGCCCAAACCATTTCATAATGTTATTGCCTGGCAGTGTAGACCTAAAGGCCATTAACACCACTATTGTTTTCCCCAGAACACAAGAGATGCACAGGACAAATGTGATCCCAAAAGCTGTGTGGCGCAACATACAGGACCAGTCAGAGGGCTGGCCAATGAAAGTAAGTGAACAGAGGAAACACAGTGTCAGTGAAAGGAGCAGAAGGAAACTCAGTTCAGAGTTATTGGCCCTTACTATTGGAGTAAATCTGTATTGATAAAATATAACAGCTATTGCTATAGTTAGGCAAGTACCAAGCAATGAAAATGTGACTAGAAGTATTCCCATTAATTCTCCAAAGGACAAAAATTCAGTTGTTTTAAGGAGACACTGATCCTGTTGTTCATTTGGTCTGTATTCTGAAGGACACAAGGTACATCCCAGGGAGTCTGATGACAGATAACAAATAAAATTATCAGTGTTCACTTGGAGTAAATTGTATGAATACTAAAATTAATATTAGTATTAATACTAATATAAATATTAAATTGGAGTATTCATTTCTTCATGTACCTAGAAAATATTTCCAACTGCTGTGCTACACACAGACTGAAGCACATTCTCACTAAATCCAGTTTACCCATAATATACCAGTATGTCTCTGGAGAAAGCCAGAGCACTCTGAGAAAATCAACATGCAAACGGGGAGATAATACAAACTCCATGCAGATAGCATGAAATACATCCTTGGGCTCCAACACTGTGAGACAGTAATTCTAAACACTGCACCTCAGTGCCACTATGCCAAACATACTAGCAACTGTATTTGCTCATGTTTATACCTTACCTATAGTGTTGCTGAACTCTTCCTCTGCACAGGGGATGCAAACAAAGCAGCAGACTGGCTTCCCTTTCTCAATGGCCTTACGAGTCCCTGGAAGGCAGCTCTCACTGCAAACTGACTTCGGCACCTGTAAAACAGTGAAAACTGAGTTGGAGAGAATAGCAGTGGACCCTCATGTAGGTTTGAGGTCGATTTTCGGTGGGTATTTTTTTTCTGGAGCAGTCTTTAGAGTTCAATAAAATGGTAATCAGTAAGTATGGTAAATATTTTACCTTAGTGTGATCACCCTTCCAAATAATATTAACATCTTTCATTATGAACTGCTGTCCTTCCGGTAAAGAGGCATCATATAGACCAATAGTTTCAAAAGTTATGATTCCCTGCTTGTTTATCTGCCAGTTCACAATTGCATATCGTGCCACTGGATCGCCATTGTCATCAAAAAAGATATTTTCTCCACTCCTGGTTGTGAAATTTACTGTCTTGAGGTAATGTAGCACCTAGAGCAAAAAAAAAAACAAAACAAAAAATATTACTCTATATACAGTGGATAATGCTTGTTTTCATCACCATTTAAAACTTAAAAAGTGAGAATATAATCTGAAAAAATTACACTCTTACCTATATTTCTATCTTATTGAATAAAATAGATAAATAAAGTAAGGAAACCTACAGTACAGTGTGTGTATAATTGAATATAAAATATTTATAATTAGATCTGATACAAAGCTGCCATTCCAAACCTTTAGTCATATAAGACATAATCAGAGGTTAAATATTGTATATGTTTTAACCAAAGAAAAAGAAGGACACAGGCTGTTATTTAAATAGCTTACATTCGGTGAAAACAAGGTTTATAATGTATGAGTTTTTTAAATCAGATTCAGTGGAATCTTTAAAAGATTAAGGTAACTCAAGGTAAAGTACAGTACAGTGCATAAGCAGCAGATAAGAAGTGTTGTTTTTGTTTATCCTTCACATACATAAATCATAAATACATCACAAATATCACAGTAATTATCAGGTATCACTTTTCATTAACATCATTTATTTCTCCCTACTGTACATAACATCAAAGCAAAATGATTACTTTTTGTGTTTCGTACTGTTCTATCATGTTTATTGTTGAAGACCACCACATTATTGTATTTCATCTTAACAAAGGGACACTATTGTGTGAAAAGCATAGAACAGTCTAAAAGACTTAATTGAATTAAAAGAAATAAGGACTAAAAACATTTTAATACTTTTTTAGTATAATTTGTGATACTTCACCCCAAACTTGTGAAATAGGAAAACAACACAAATATTTGAGGAAATTGTCTGTGCCCATTCACAATCAATGAATAAAAGTTAATCATTTAGAATTAAAGGATTTTTAATTCAAAATTGATTAAAACCTTTTGTCCATTTTTAATTATCCCTTTAAATCTTTACACTTAACAGAAAAACAATTTCCTTACCTGCCAGGTTTCTAGTCTGTGTTTGTTTGCACATGTTCTGTTGTCAAAAGGTCCGTGTCCATTTTGACATGTCATTAGATCATGAAGTGAATGAGCTACAGCATACACTGCTTTATACACATTGTTGGATATCCTCAGTTCAGATACATCTGTGTATTGATTATTTATTTCTTTTAAGGACTCTGTTCCTGTGCAAGTTTTAACATATGTATTGGTGTGAGAATTTAGTGTACAGTTGAAAATACTCTCCCAAAACTCATTTAAGCCAGTGTTTCCAAGTGTGTTTGATGGTCGACCATTTACTATAAATTCTTTCAGTCCTGGTATCTGTGCGATTGGAATTGCAAAGCCAATGGCTCCACCCAGGACTTGATAGCCTTCTTTTGATGCAAGGCTGCTGTGTGTAACCCATGCCTCACTGCCCACCCACTGGAAACCTGTGAGATTCTGTATCAAAAACTCTTTCACTAATAATTCCAAATCTATGTAAGATGTAAAAGCCACAATTACTTTAGAAGTTGATCTTTTGACAATGTCAGCAACTTTAAGGAATTTATCTCTGGAGTCAGTTCGAAAAATGACCTCTGAGTATTCAATACAGATCCCCTCCTGCTGGGCAGCCTTTACAAAGGTAGCCATCCCATCATTGCCATAATCATTGTTGCTTCTAATGGCTCCAACCCAGGTCCATCCAAAGTGCTTCACAAGCTTTGCCAGGGCTCTGCTTTGGTAATAATCACTTGGAATTGTCCTGAAGAATGAAGGGAACCTCTTTCTATTACTGAGACAGGCACAACTTGAAAACTGACTAATCTGCAATAAGGAGAAAGAAGTAAAAATCACGACAAAGGAAGAGTATCTACACTATGGTCCATGGTCATTGAAAATCATCTATTTCTCTCACCACAGGTATGTTAAAGGGTCCAACAGTTGTTGCAAGTCCAATTGTCTGTGATGATCCAGATAGCCCTATTATTGCATGAACAGAGGGTGACTTGGTACAGGAGTTGTTTAGATTAATTTCCTTTTGCTGCTCATTCATTAATGCCAGTGCAGCTTTTATAGCTAAAGCCACTGAACTACAAGCATTAAAAATCTTATATCCCAGAGACAAACCAGGAAGAATATGTGAACTGTTGTTTATTTCTTCAAGAGCAAATATCATAGTTTGAGCATACTGGAATTCTTCAGGATTTAAACTGTAGGAAGAAAGCATTGGCTATTATTAAAATAATTATTGTCATTTTTTTTTCACTTAAAAGAGTAACATTTTTAGCATCATTTTCTAAAATAAGCAGATGTCTGACTTATTATAGACTCTATTAATCACTTCTAACCTTTTAGTACAGTAATATTTCTTTATAGTTTTCAAAAATATTATACTTTTTATATAAAATGTGCTTACCTTTCACACTTTGGTTGTCCTGGGTTAACCATAAATGTTGGATTTGCAATAATAGGTTTTTTATGGAATGAAAAAATTGCCCCTATGTTGATGTCTCCATCTCTTGAAAACTGGGGCTGGACATGTTCTCCATATGGTTGACAAGTAGGCTTCTCAGCCCCTGTGAAGAAAGAAATCAAAAGTAATTTCACAAGCAGCAGCATCTCAGACTGTCTCCTTTCTTTCTTGTGTAAAAATCTAATTTACTTCATGACACTTATACTTAAGCGCAAATCCCTTATGCTTAAACGGAAGCATCAAAGCATTAATTCTCAGAGGTGAGCTCACAATTGAGTCTGCATTAAGGAATAAGCAAAATCATAAATTGGAGTTGTTTAATTGCTCATTGGGAGTCATGCTATTTTATCTTTAAACAATACATTTTAATTTACTTATCAGAGTAAAGGTACAAATAGTACACTATACTTATAAGCTGAGACTGAAGAGAAATACACTGCATGGTATGCAAGATAGCATGAAACAATAAAACAAACTATTTATTAAAGGTGTTATACAGTATGTTGTTCTCTAAAGCAAAGTGCAGACAGAATACATACAGTAATACATAACCATTTAAAAAAAAAATTCTTTTTTCAACCCAACTCTAAGATGCTCCTAATTAGGATCAATGTCAATTCTGACAGTTTTTAAAATATTGAATATTAGAGACCTACTGTATTAGAACTAATTTTAAAGATTCCATAATATACTTTAATTCTATCCATATGAATCTCACTCATACAGGGTCTAACGACTGGGTGTAGTCTAGGGCTATAGGTCAGACTGCAGGGCTATAGGTCAGACTGCAGGTTATTTAAATTGGTATGACCTACAACAGTAATTAGCCACCGAAAGATTGTTGTGAGTATCACTATCCTTCCTTTCCAAAGATGTGGACAGCAGACAGAGATGTTTCCATTTCCTTATAATATTAATTTTAGACCCAGGGTCAACATGAAGACCCACACAGAACATACAGTAGGATGCTTCCACCTGAAGAATTGACGCGATGTGCGGAACAAGTCAAGAGGACAAGGTCAGGCTCTTTTTTGGCCTTCCTGGTTATAAAATTGAACAGTTCCCACCCCAGCAGCCTCAATGCCAGTGACCTCTCATGCCCTTAACCTCATGTTCAGGTATGACAGTTTTCAGGTGCTTTCATCCTATTTTTTTTCCAATTTTCGGCTTCTAACAGTACTGCCATTATTGAACCAGGACTATTCCAGAGCTCCTGCCATGAGCCAACAGCTATATCACCCTGAAACTCACAACTGGCAACCCATTGAAGGTCAGCAGGTGTGAGCCTGGCCAGTACCTGGATGGGAGACCTCCTGGGAAAGCTAAGGCTGCTGCTGGAAGAGGTGTTAGTTAGTGGGACCAGTAGGAGGTGCTAACCTTGTGATCTGTGTGGGTCCTAATGAACCAGTATAGTGACGGGGAAACTATACTGTAAAACATGTGCTGTCCTTTGGGTGAGACATAAAGCCAAGGCCGTGACTTTACATGGACATTAAATATCCTAGGGAGTTTCCTGGAAAGAGTAAGGATGTTCCACAAGTGTCCTGGCCAAAGTTCCACTGGCTTTTACCAAACAGTGTCACCTAATAATCTCTATCTTTGAATTGGTTTTATTACTCTGTTCTACTTCCCACTTCCTGTATATCTGTGCGGTGGGGGTAATGTGTAGGACTACATGTTGGTGGTGGTGGAGGAGAGGAGTTACCATTTCCTGTAAAATGCTTTTAGTGGAGAGTTCAGAGAACTGCTACAGTATGTGAGTATTGTAACCCCCTCGCCTGGTGGTGAGGAGGAAGCGCCCCTAGGCGCTTGTAGTACCCCTGGGCATGCTGGGAGTGGTAGCCGGGGAGAGTCTGAGGGTCAGCACGATGACCAGTGGCTGACCCTATCTCTGTAAATAATGTCCTGGCAGTTCTAGTGTCCTGTATAGTCTTATAAGAGTATAGCGTGTTGTAAAGTAATTACCACCCTAAAGATGTGTACGTGTTCCGTCAGTCTCCTCATGTGCGTGTATATCCTGTGTTCGGTTTTGTGTGGTTGTTAATGAACAAAGCTAGCGCTTGGTTTGTTAATCGTGTCTCCACTGGTCCTTTCTTCTGAAAAGAACCTGTAAACGCTACAGTATAATGAATGTATTATATCCAGAATGCCCAGAATCATAATGTGAAATTGCTGTAATAGTAGGCAATGAACAGTATTAGTACAAATACTGTAGTTAGCTGCATTAGCATGCGGAGGCTGCAAAGGAACAAGTAAAAGGTTTTGTTCCATGCTGGAAGGAGAGGAAAGGAAACACAACGTTTCAGCTGTGGAGCCTTCTTCGGGTGTGCTCACACCTGAAAAAGGCTCCACAGCCGAAGCGTTGTGTTTCCCTTCTTCTTGTTTTAGCATGGAATAAACCTTTTACTTGTTCCTAATGAGCAGTATGGTAGCATGTCCTTGGTTATGAATTAGATTTTGGCCTTCTATGGCCTGCTTCTCATGCTATGTCATGCTATCATAGCATGATCCCTGTGGCAATGTGGGACTGGGTTCTTCAGATTATTGTCCTCTGTGATATAAACTTTGGACATTTTTTGGCGGGGTTTCTTTTATTATTAACACAAGGAAATATTTGTTACAATCTTAAGAAAACAATGGGATTGATACATTGATATGCAGTAAGCACTGATAGCAGATTCAGATATACAGGACAGTAACTGGAGAGATTTCCAAATAGACACATCTATGATATACTCAAAATTTATAATAAGAGGTAATACATGCTAAAAAGAAAATGTACTGTATACATAGAAATATATTAAAGAAGACCCAGAGCTGTGCTTCACATAAGGAAATATCTGTCTTTATCTTAAGAAAACAATGAAATTGATAAGACGTACAAAATGTAATGATAACAGCTTTCCATGGACATTGGGATAATGTATTCAAAATGAATAACATGAAGAGGACATACATATTAAAAAGATATTTTAGAAGCAGAAAGAAATCAATAAAAGGAAGTAACTTTATTTAGATTAGAATGCAATTCTGTGATTTCTATATAGTTTGACGTTACAACATATTGCGGGCACCTTTCGCAGAACTCATGAACTAACTGATCCTTCACGAAGCCCATCTAGGTTTCTGAACACCTCACAAATGACCTCTGACGCAGCACCTCCTCATGGCCCACATTCCTGGCTGGACCCTGGAACAGTAGGTTGGCCAGTGTTGCCCACAACAGATTCACTTACTGTACAGCACAAACAGTACGTTATTTAGTGTTAGGTTAATGACTATATTTATTATAATAATTAATATTTATTCAAGTGGAGGGGGGTGCAAAGGGCAAACAACACCCATGTCACATGACATAGGGACCAACACAGAATAAAATATGCTTATGCAGGTGTGTGTGTGATGCCATGCTGCTGACACTGTAACTGTTTTGCATACATTAAAACATTACCTATTGTGAGTTAATGCTAGTTTGCCACCAGAAAATCATTCCACTTCTTATCTGACACAAGGCAATATCTGTAACAGTAACTCAGTAGTCAGCGTATTAACAATAAGCTTTAAACACTGCTAAC